ATTCCTTTTCATCTTCTTAAACTCTTATTGTCTTAATGCTCCAGAACTCAGTCTACAGACTTTATTTTCTCTATCCCTTGGTGGTCTTGTATTTTTTAAAAATAAAATCAATATTATTGACAGCTTGGACCTCTCCCTTAAGCTCTAAACTCATATATCCAAATGTTTATGACATTCCCCACTTGGATACCTAATAGTTATCTCAAACTTAAACATGTCCCAAACCAAAGTCCTAATCTTCTCTCCCTAATCTGCTCTTTTAAAGTCTTCTATGTGTAAATTAATATCAACACTAGTTGCCCAGGCTAATGACCATGCTGTCCCACACATTTTTTTTTCACATTTTACACTGAAATTATCAACAAATTCTGTTGGCCTAACCTTCAATATATACCCCAAATTGAGTCACTTATCCCCTGTGCCCTTTCCATCCTAGTCTAAGCCCCCATCACCTACCATCTGGATTATTATAACCCTGATTATGCCCTTGGATTGCAAGCAGCTTGTTCTCAAGACAGCAGCTGGAGGGATCCCATTAAGACTGTACTTGAGAAACTTTCTTTTGAGGTCCAAAGGATTGAACCATCTTGCTCATGCTTGACAAATGCTCTACTACAACTCTTCTTAAATTTTGAGACAGGGTCTCACTAAATTTGCCAGGTTGTCCTCAGTCCTCAGACTTGTGATTTTGCCTGCCTGAGTCTCCAGACTAGTTGGAATGACAGGGGTGTACTGCCATACCTTGCTAAAATGATTCTTTTACCTATTCATCGTCACCCCTTGTTTGAAAGTATGGCAGGCTTGTTCTCAAAATAACTAGAAATTTGAGGAACATTCATAATTTCTCTATCTGATCCTGCCTTTTGATTACCAGGAAAACATCCAGCTCTGAGTTACACCTCCAGCCCTTTTAATTTTTTTGAGACAGGGTCCAAGTTGCCCAGACTGACTTTGAACTTGGGATCCTCCTGCTTCAGCCCCACAAGAGGACTTTCATTTTCATTGTTTATCAAGGTATAATTTATATTACCCCATTCAAAATCTACTAATGGGGGCTGGTGTTGTGGCTCAGTGGTAAAGTGCTTGCCTAGCATGTGTAAAGCACTGGGTTCGATTCTCAGCACCACATGTAAACAAATATATAAATGTTCATCAATAACTAATAAAAAATTTAAAATATCTACTAATGGCTTCCCAACACAGAATAAAAGCTAACTCCTTTAAACTCCCTATAAGGCTCTCTTCTACGTGGTCCACATGATCTCCCAAGCCATGTCCTATCTGCTACCGCTTAGCCTACAGATCTTCTGCAGTGCCATCAATCTTGTGTTTTTTAACCAGGCACGAGCCTGCTTCAGGGCCTTCTCCCCAGCCCTTTCTCCCATCATAATCATGTTAGCTGTAGATTTTTATTAGGTTAGGTTAAGGAGGCTTCCTTTATATTCCCAGTTTAATTTAAACAGTGATGTTAGATTCATATATCATAAAATTAGCCATTTTAAAGTGAACGATTTAGCGGCAGTACATTCACACTATCATGCAACCATCTCTATTTAGTTCTAAAACATTTTCATCATCCCCAAATAAAGTCCCACACCCATTAGGCAACTGCTTTCCATACCCTGCTCCTCCAGCTCTGGAAACAACTAATCTGCCTTTGTCAGTATGAATATGCGGATTCTAGATATTTCACATAAGTTGTATTATAAAACGTGACTGTTAGTGACTTTCTTTCACTTAACATGTTTAAAAGGGTCACACATGTTGCAGGATGTAACAGTACTTCATTCCTTTTTATGCTTAATAATATTCTATTTGATATTCCACAATTTATCCCTTTATTTGTTGATGACATTTAGACTGTTTCTATCTTCTGGCCATTGTGAATAGTGGTATATAAACACACATGTGCTGGTATGTTAGTCTCTTCTTTAATTTTTTTTTTTTTTTTGGTACTAGAGATTGGCCCCAGGGATACACTTCCCACTTAACTATATCTTCAGGTTTTTTTTGAAACAAGTCTCACTAAATTGCTGAGGCTGGCCTTGAATTTGGTGAACCACCTGCCTCAGCCTCCAGAGTCACTGGGATTACAGGTGTGTGCCACCAGACTTGGCTGAATTATTCTGGCTATATACCCAGGAATGGAACTGCTGGGTCCCATGGTAATTCTTTTTTTAAAAAAATACCTTGGGGGCTGGAGATGTGGCTCAGCGGTAGCGCGCTCGCCTGGCATGCGTG